TGAGTGGCAGCGGCGGGCCCTGCTAAACCCCAGATATCCATGCCGTGCAGCGCCGCATCTGCTCGGGGTCTCCACAAGTAGCCCCTCTTGTCTTCTACCACCAGATGCAGAACAAAGCTTTCAACCCCTCTTTCCACTGTGGTAAAGCAGCTACTAGAACTTTATGGTCCTTGCTTATTTGCACAGAGGAACCTTGCAGATCTTCAGCTGACGGCTTTAGGGTTTCCAGTGTTGCCGCCTAAATTTCCCCTCTATCTGCCAGAAAACAAAGCTACAATCATCCTCGGTCGAGAGTCTCCCCTGCTCTGCCCGGCTCTGAGACTCCCAACCTGCAATAGGAAGGGGGAACCTTTGGAGTGGAGCCCTGTGTTGTGCCTTGCTGCAGTCTTATGTTTTTTGTGTTTCCAATTTATTGTTTCTGTGTTGTTTTGTTTCCTGCTATCACTGTCTATTGCATTTTCCATGCACATTAAAGAACTTGTATTGCATCAACAATTTTTTTTGTCTGAAATTCTTCTGCACTGTGGCTGGAATTATGTCTATCACTGAGAGACGATGTGCAATGTTAGATGGCAATTCGTTTGCTGAAAACTTTTGTGAAAGCTCTGAATTTCTCTCAGAAAAGACTTTTGAACTGCAAGGTAGGGAAGTTACTTGCAAAAGATTAGCTGCATTACAAAAGACAGATATTATAGGTGTAAAACCACTTTCTGTTTTGTGAGGACAACAGAAGAATGAAAAGTAAACTAGTGGTGTATTCCTTTCCCATTCATACTCTGCACCGTGTTCCTACCAGTCAGCCATGATGCGCAGGGTGATGTACTAAGCACGCACCACGAAATGTGGCTAGTGCGCTCATGAGAGCTGCTGTCTGTGGGCAGCCCGAGGGCATCCTTCCTCCTGTGACCTCGGGGAAGCTCTGCACAGTGTATGCAGATGCGGGCACGCGTGGGCTGCACATTTCTCCACACTGCCAGCTGCACCCAGCTATTCATGTCTTGCTTCGGGCTTGGGGCAAAGTGCTGGAAAGTTGCCCTTGTCCTGAGATGTATGCGGCAAAATTGGAGCTGAGCATTACCGAGCACTTGCTTGGACTGCTGTTACAAGCCACAACTGCTAGGGACTCAGGTTGGTCCTGGGAAGTGTCAAGTGCTCAGCTCGTGTTTAATGACATTGCGTGGAAAAGTATTCCTGGGATTTAGAGACGTGCACTCCAAGAAGGAACAGGAACACCTATGACCAAGGATAAATATCCCAACCCAAATCATTCAATGATTCTATACATTCAGTTGATATGGAAAAGGAGAAGGAAATTATTATATGGTAATGAAAACCAGAAGACATACTGTGGTACAGAAGATTTATTTGGAAAGAGACAGCTTTTCTACAATTCTGGAACAAAATTGTACAGAATACAAAGACCATCCTTCCAGGGGTTCAGTGAGGCTCTGGCTAATCACCAGGGTCAAAGTGATGCGGTCTATAAAAACTGTTTATTCTCCTTTGGCGCAGTTGCTGTGTGCAATTTCTAGCACCCTAAGTCACCTCTCTAAGTTCAGTGTCAACAACATAACTGAAATAAGACGAAGCACAATGTAAGCAGATGACTAAACTGGAAAGCCAGAGGATAACAGATTTAAACTAAATGCAAAATGAGAAAATGCACACATGAGCCTGCCTGCCACAGGTGCTGAGTATTTGCAGTTCTCATTCTTTCCAGCTGAAGCCAGACAACAGCCAGCACTCAGGCTGGTGCCTATTAGCTCCACCCTCAATTTACATCTCAAGTTTCCTTTGCTGCTTCTTTAAATTGCTCTGTGCATGCCCTGGCTGAGCTTAGTATGTCCACCGTTTCCCAGAGCGATATGAGTTGCATGGATGTGTCCATTGGGAAGAATAGGTGTAGGAATATTTTGGGGCACACCGTGGCTCAGGTCGGGCAATGACTGGAGGAGCAAGCTTCTCAACTGCTGCCTCCAGCCTCCCTGCCACCTCTGCTGGCAGAGCTGCTGCGGCGGGGGGTTCTGCCAAGGCCACCTTGGAGGGCTCTGAGGCTCCCACGACGGTTTGCTGCGGGTAGGTGGTGAGGATGGGCCCTGGAAAGGTGACAACAACGGGTGGTGGGTATATGATCACCCGGGAGTCACCGCAGGCCACGACGCAGGGCTCGTTGCTGCTGGTGGCCAGGGGCTGGGGACACTGTGCTTCACAGGGGTTGGTGCATGCCAGCTGGTCGGAAGACATTGCCTGGCTGTGGTGGGGGAGTGCCTGCAAATTATTTGTAGAACTAAAAAAGAAAAAAAAAATCCATGTGCTTGGTTATTGATGCATCTAAGATTGGCTCTAAGAGGTCTTTAGACACAGATAATTTGGATAAAGACAGCAGATGAGCTCCTTCCATTGCATCTGCTACGTTTTTCTTAGCCTGC